TGGTTTTTTTTTTTTTTTTTTTTGGATTGTCTTTCATTTTTATTTATTTATTTATTGTTGCTAATATTAATAGAATATATATTAAAGACTTCTATACATCATTTTTACGTTTGAAATAAAAATTCAAGCAGTATGTCATTTTTCAAACAAAAAATGACATCACGTCGTTACATAAAAGTTTAACTGTAAAACATACAAAAGTTCAATGGATTAAACTGGCTTTACTAACCTTGTTGTTGTGTCTCAGGTATCACATGCAGAGCAAGAGATGTCTTTTCAAGATGAATTTGGATCTTATATCTTTCCTAACACTTATTATGTATTTTAATGAGCTAATCTTGGATGAAATTAACCTATTCATATTCACAATTCTATAATTGTGGCTTTTGTAGGATAAAATCCCAAATTGGTGGAGAAGAAAAGGTAAAGGAGGGGGGGGGGGGATCACGAAAATATGACATGGGGGACCAAAATGTACAAATGTCAAAAGTTTAGGAAATCTTAGGTTACAATTTCTGGAAGACATGATTGAAAGGAAATTCAAAATCGGACTATCAAAATGGACAAGATAAAGCTTGAGGGACTAGAAGCACAATTACTTGAAGGACCGAGGCTGCAAAAGAGAAGAAATTGAAGGTAGGCCTGGGCGCTGGTCAGTTCGGTTCGGTTTTAAAGAGAACCGAACCGAATCAAAAATTTCGGATATTTAGTAAATAGAACCGTAGGGTCCAACTATAATTATGGAACCGTTCGGGTTCGGTTTGGTTCGGTTCTATACTATAATTAAATTTTTTAACATTTATAACAACACTACATAAATACAACTAATAACACATTCAATCGTAATTTTTTAAATTAACATAATCCAATTTAACATGTATATAACAAGTTGTCCAACAAGATTAATTTACTAATCACATATAAGGAAGCTTACATACTACCTTATTCAAATGATCAACAGTCGAAGGTCGCCATCGGAGCCCGGAGGTCATAGCTTCGGACTCGGAGTCGGAGGTTCTATACATCTATTTGAGTTTTGGAATGTCAGATGCGTTATGTGTAGGTGATAATGTGTGTAATTTATTTAGGGTTAGTCATTAGTGGGTTGAATCACTTGAATGTTGGACTAAAAAATGGAAGAATAAAAACTAAAAATGGCACTTGGGCTAAAAATTAAAAATGAAACAAATAATTGGACCAAAAAATTGGATTTAGAAATTGGTTGGGTTAGATCAAGCTAGTTAGGCTAAATCGGTTAATGAGACATTAATGAGACATTATCGTAACTAAATGATTTACGTTTTCAATTTAATGATTTACATTTTCGATTTAGTAAGACATTGTAACTAAATGATTTACATTTTCGATTTAATGAGACATTATCGTAACTAAATGATTTACGTTTTCAATTTAATGATTTACATTTTCGATTTAGTAAGACATTGTAACTAAATGATTTACATTTTCGATTTAATGAGACATTAATCAGCTAAGTGATATCATAAATCTCAACTCATTTAAAATCAACAATCTTATCACTTTCACAATTATTTGTTTAATTAAACTCTGAAATTATTTTCTTTTCATTTGTAACTTCAAAAATGTAATTGTATGTATTCTTGTTTTTAATTTAAATAGATTATCGTGTAATTGGAAGAAACATTTTTCTAGGGATCGACTCGGACTCAATATCCATTTTATTATTTGAACGCACTCATGCACTTGAGGTATAAAATTTTAGCAAACATTAAATAATACTTAACAAGGTTATGCTACTTTTAGAAGAAAATCTAGGAAACACTTCATAATCGAATTTCACGTAAAATTTATTCTTAATTAAAAATTAACGAAAACCAAGAGCATTAATCTATATTCTTTATGTTGGGTTGTGCTGAACCTTGGAAAATGAAGCCCAGAAGGGCCAATAAGCATGGTGTATGGCCCATGGGCCTAAAAAATAGTTTGCCATTTTTACCAGACTAGCCTCGGTATGGCCATACAAAGCTTTGACGAACTCACTCACTTTGCCGCCTTCAATACACTACGCTTGCATTTGGTGAACCTTATTAAACCCTGTGAAGAATTCACTTTTTTTTGTGAAAAAATATAAGTTAATTATAGGGTAATTAGCACAAAATATCCTTACCTTTCGATGTTTTTGTGAAAAACGTCCCTACCTTTCTTTTTTGGCGGATTACACCCTTACATTTACCTTTTTTTGCGCAAAACATCCTTCTGTCAACTCTCCATTAAAATCCTCCGTTAAATCAAAAGGTAATTAGCATAAAAGTTCCCTACCTTTCAAAGTTATTGTGCAAAACGTCCCTACATTTTATTTTTTAGCATAATTAGCAGAAAATGTCCCTATCTTTCAATATTATTGTGCAAAACGTCCCTACCTTTCATTTTTAGCATTTTTACCCCTACATTTCACCTTTCATTGCGCAAAAGGTCCTTTTCATCCATTTTTTCAACAAAATGACGATTTTACACTCCTATTGAAATAAAATAAAAAGAAAAGAAAAAAATAATTAACTAATTGCAATCATAGTTCTAAATCTTTTCAAAACATTACAGATAAATCTTAAATTCTCCACTACCGCCACTTTCACAACCCCACCAAGCCACCACCTATAGATCCATATAGCACCACTTTTCGACCACAACACCTATCGGATTCCACCACCACCAACATCGTCTCACTCTCCCCAATATCTTCCTCCATAGTATTGGTCACCAATCTGTCCGAAACAACCACATTTACGGTGGTGGAGTCCGGTGGGCATGGTGGCTGAAAGGTGGTATTATGTGGATTTATAGTTGGCAGCTTGATAGATTGTGAAAATGGTGGTGGTTGAGAATTTATGATTTTTTTGTAATTTTTAAAAATTTAAGGACTATGGTTACAGTTGGTAATTCATCTTTTCTTTTTGTTTTATTTGAATAGGAGAGTAAAATCGTCATTTTATTGAAAAAATAGATGAGAAGGACCTTTTTTGCAATGAAAGGTGAAAAGTAGGAGTGAAAATGCTAAAAAATAAAAGGTAGGGACGTTTTTCACAATAACATTGAAAGGTAGGGACATTTTGTGCTAATTATGCCAAAAAACGAAAGGTATGGACGTTTTGCACAATAATCTTGAAAGGTAGGGACATTTTGTGCTAATTACCTATTGATTTAACGGAACATTTTAATGGGAACTTGACAGAAGGACGTTTTGCGCAAAAAAGGATAAAGGTGAGGGTGTAATCCACCAAAAAACGAAAGGTATGGACGTTTTCTACAAAAACATCGAAAGGTAGGGACGTTTTGTGCTAATTACCCTTAATTATAATATGTAATTAAATTTAAATTTAAATTTTATCTTTTGTTTAGGAAGAATTAATTAACGATTTAATTTATAAATAAATTTAAATGAGTGATTGATAAGTCGATAATATTTATGAATCAATTAAATATGGGGGGCAGAAAATGAACTTTGATTATATATAAATAATTTTTAAATTCTATCAAACTTGAGTGTTAATCACACATTTATAGTTATTATTCAATTACTATTCACACATTTCTTGGACACATTGCTCTTTTCATTATAACAAAATTATAACGAAACCCAAATATGTATTGATAAGTATAAAATTATAATATATTGTAGTAGGAGGACGACACTATAGTGGATTAAGATGGATAATATTCTTTAAATTTTTAGTGTAAAAATGACGTTTGCATTATCAATTGTATAACATGTGCATTTGATGGAGATGGATTTGACAAGATAAATATTATAAATAAAATTCTTTTGAATAAAAAAAATCAATTGCTATTGTCAACATTAATCTAATTTTAATTCCACTGCACAGTATTATTCAATTAATTTTTTATATGGTCAAATACGATGCATCAAATACAATGTTTGAGCTTTTTTTTTTAAAATTCATTTTTAAATCACACGTTCTTTCATAAAATAATATTAAGACTTTTGGGTTTTAACTTTCTATTGGATTGGGCCTAGCACATCACCTAAAGTAAGTGGGTTGTCTTTTTCAGACTTATAACGGATAAGACCTGCCCCCATTCCGATTGATAAAGAACAGAATATAAATGGGAAAAAATCATATTTAAGGTGTATTCTTTACATCATTTCAAAAGTTAGGTAAGAAGTTTGAAAATTCAAAATTCAGGTTCGTATTTAATTAATTAAAATTATTTATTAAATAAATATATTAAAGTCACAATTAAACAATTAATGGTCACAGATTTATTTACCAGTCACATATCATCAAATTAATTGGTCACGGATTATTTCGAGGTTACAAATCGAAAATTTTATAGGTCACAGATTATCAAATTTTAAGGTCACGGACGAAATTGTTGAGGTCACAGATTATTGTTTTAGTCACATATCGTCAAATTTTAAAGTCACGGACCAAATCCTTGAGGTCACAGATTATTATTTTAGTCACAGATCGTCAAATTTTAAGGTCACAGACCAAACTTTATGGTCACCCCTTCCACCGGTCCTATCCAGCACCAATCTTGGTCACAAACCACTACCATCCAATCGTCAATTGCACTATACCACCGCAACACCACACTCAATCCCGATCCAATTCCACCGCAGCACTTGGTCACAAACACTATCCATCACCACCATTGCACCCCTATCACGTCACAACAATCAGTCAACACCACCTGAGCCACCACTGCACCGACTCCTGCACATCAGATAACACCACCCACGGATCAGAATAGCTACACCACCACCGCCTCTGCACCATCACCACTATCACCATTTGCAACCTCGCCTGCAAAAACCACCAAAAACTTTAACCAGCCAGTTAAACTTGAAACCACCCTAAAAAATCTGAAGCGACGACTACAACGAGGACCACCACCTGACTACAACGAAGACCACTATCTCAAATCACCGATCTGAAAAGAGTCCCTATCCCCAGCACCACCACCTCACCACCGTGACCACCACAACATCAAACAACAATACCAAACTGCATCGACGTCATCAAACAATTGCAACAACATTGCCCCAAAAATTCGACAACCACACACCATCTAGTCACCTCACAGAATCGATCAAAATCAAATACACCATCAGTTAGTGAGAAGCCAGATTCCCCAACTTCAATTAAAACAGATCTGTCCCTATCCTCCTCACTGCAACCTGAGAAATGCAAAGCCCCTTTAGCACCTGCTTTAGAGATACCGATTGAGAAAATCCAATTCTCTGTGGATGAGGTCTATCAACCCTCATTGGCTTCTTCGAGGGATTTCTTGGCGAGTACAAGTCTAGACTTGCAATTGCGGCAGTCGCTGCACCTATGCTCAAAACAGAAGAGGCATTGACCAGCACAAAAAAGACAAGGTGTCATCATCGAAGAGAGATGGAGAAGAAGGCCGTTTGGTGGCGGAGGTGGCTGGCGACTGAAGAGAGAAGAAAGAAGTGAGAGAGAAAGAGGGGGAGAGGGGTGAAAAGTGATAGAAAGAGGAGAGACGAAGATACTTAGGGTTTGGAAGTTAAGTTCAATAGGATGGTTGGAATTGAATGGGGTGAGATGAATATTTAGATTAATTTATTTTTTAATATTAAAATTTAAAATTTCACCTGATTTTTGAATAAAAAATCATTAAACTTCATTTTTGAATTTGAAAATTTAAAAACTTGCTTTGGTGTAATTTCCTCAATATAAATTGACTCATCTCTGAAAAAAAAAACCATTGTTTAAGTATTCAAAATTCCCAAATCAGATAAGAAGTTTTATATTTCATAAATCAGATTTTTTTATCAATTATTTAAATAAACCAATTACCAAAAAAATAAAAACCCTACATCCAAACCCTAAATCGTATTTCCTCTCCTTTTCCCTTTCCCCATCTCTCTCTAGAAAGCTCTGTGACAAACACTCAAAGGGAGACGCAACAATAACGACACTGTGGTGGCGTGAACGATGCTGCGGTGATGTCTCTCACGGCACTGCAATGAAGCGACCGCTGCACGTCGTCCGCTGGCTATTGATTTTCGCCTCAAACGATGTTGCTTTTGGTTCTTCTCCCAACTCAGGCTACTTTGATTCCACTGGAGAATCTTCGGTGCTGCATTGCTCGTCGTCGACGATGATGCCAGTGATTTTACTTTTGATTTTGGATCTGTCGACGATGTTGCTAGTGATTTAACCGGAGAATTAATGGTTTCCTTTTAATTTTAGATCTGTGATGTGGTCTACGGAGGTGTTGATGCTAGTAGTGATAGTCAGGTGGAGGTGGTCCCTGGTGGTACCGGTGGATGATATGGCGGGTGGTTTGTGTGTGGGATAGCATAGGTGGTGCTCGATCTAGTCGTGGTTGTTGCATATCGAAGACGGAGAAGAGAATGGGTAGTTATGGTTCGGTGGATCTATGGTGGTGGTTTTGGCGACGATGGGTTGCAGTGGTGCTGTTATGGGTTATAGGGTGGTGGTGGTGCGGAAGTGTGGGTAGTAGTGGTGGTGGTGTTTTCTTGGTTGTTGGAGTAGTGATGGTCGTTTGTTGTTGGGGACTTGGGTGGTTTTGGTGTTGGTGAAGTTGGCGGTGGTGGTTGATTTGGCAAGGTCGTGGTTGACGGTGTTGTAGTGGGTGGAAAGAGTGTTTGTAACAAATTATGTTATGACCAGTAAATTGTTAATTTGTAATCGGTAAATAATATGTGGCCGAATATGTAACTGTGACTAAATTTATAATATGTGACCTAAAATTTGTGACTGTGACTTACAATTGATTAAGTCGTGATCAAAAAATTAATCGTGACCAATTAATCTAAGAATTCGAAATGAATATATGAGTTGTGACCAATAAATAATCTACCTATAAAAATTTTTATTCGTGACTGAAAAATATTATGTGACCTATAAATTTTTTTATTTCTAATCGAGAAATAAGTTGTGAGAAAAAATTAATCTGTGACTAATTAATTTTTTGATTTGTGATCGATAAACAAGTTGTGACCTGGAAAATTTTTGAATTGTGATCGTAAAATAATTTGTGATATAAGATTTTTGATTTGTAACAAAAAATAATATATTAGTAATTAATTGTTAATTCGTGACCAAATTATATGGATATGTGATCTAAATATATTAAATTAATTAAATAATTAAATCATAAATAAATTTTAATAAAAATTTGATTTTTGAATTTTAAAACGTGTTTTCTTAATTTTAAAATATATCATTCCTAATCTCTCACCTTTGAAATTTTCCCTAACGGGTAAGACCTGCCCCCATTTCCATTGATAAAGAACAGAATATAAATTGACTCTCATCTCTGAAAAAAAAAACAAAAAATCAACAAGCAAACAAACAAAAATGAAAAAGAAATCCCGCTTTTATTACAATTTCTACATATTCGGTGGCTCCTCCATCTTTCCCATAAGCTCTTTTTCTCTCTCTAAAACGTTCTCTACTCTCTCTACTCCCCTGCTGCCATGTCTTTCCGAGGAGGGGTCAGTTTCTGTTCTAGATCTAAAAATTTTTACTTGGTTAATTTTTGTTCGTATTGGAAAATTTATCTTTATGATGGGAGAGAATTTCTGGGTTTTTAACTTTTTTGTTATTTTTTTCAATTTTTGTTTTCTTACCATGTGTTTTATGTTAAAAGTTCAGTTAAATCATAAATGGATTCATCATAGATCTTCATAATTGATGTAAAATGATTTTAGTTTTTAGAAATTCATGATTGATTTTGAGATATTGTTACTTTTATTTTATTTTGCTTTTCCTTTCTTTTTTAAAATAATTATGAATTCATTGTTGCATGCTGGCTTTGTAATTTCTAATAAGCAAAATTGGTGCTTTTTAACTGATTTTGAATGCTCTCTCATTTTAATGTGCGATCGGCCAATTTTTGTTTTATTTTATTTTTTTCATTTTCGATTGTTGTTTATGTTAGTTTAGTTGGTGTGGTAGTATCTGTTCGCATTTGGAGGAACTGGATCAACTTAAGTCTTTGCTTTTTGCAAATGAGTCTCTAATTGGATCTAATTTATTTATTTATTTATTATTATTTTTTTGAGCTGGATCAACTCCCTGTTGTTTGCATTTCAAAGAGATGGCTGGACCAGTGGAGGATTTTTTATTGTTGGTAAAGGGATAAAGAAAGACAGCAGAGTGTTATTATTATTATTATTTTAACAAGAAGGATCGAACATGCCTAGTTTATTGTTCTTTGGAGTTGTTGGATTTTGATTTTTATATAAAATTGGTATTGTATTCTTTTACGTACATGTTGGATCCCGAATTGTTTGATGGAAACTGAAAAATCAAGCCCATTTGTTTAGTACTTGCTCTCGGATTGTTCTACTGAGAATTGGCGATGGTTCAAAATTAACTAAGAATAAGTAATAAAAGGAGCTATTGAGTGCAGTATCTAATGAAAATAGCTATTGACCCTCTGCGAACTATAAGATTATTATTATTATTATTATTATTATTATTTTTTTTTTTTTTTTTTTTTTTTAATCAAACTTGTGATTTTGATTGGTACCAGAATTTTGACCAGTGGTCTATGGTTCTAGGCAAATGCTTCATCTGGCATGGGCGTTGCTGATCACAGCAAAAGCACATACATGGAATTGCAAAGGAAGAAAGTGTATCGGTATGTGATCTTTAAGATTGATGAGAAGAAAAAGGAGGTCATTGTTGAAAAGACTGGCAGTCCAGCTGAGGGCTATGATGATTTCACTGCATCGCTCCCTGAGAATGATTGTCGATATGCAGTTTATGACTTTGATTACGTCACTTCTGAGAACTGCCAAAAAAGCAAGATCTTTTTTATAGCATGGTATCGCTTACTCTTTTCATCCTCGTTTATTTCATAGGTCTTTGAGGTTATTACATTTGTAACCTCCTCCATCCCTTCCTCGGTCATGCATTTTTTTATGTAATTATATTTGATAGTATGCTCTTGGCTGGTTAAACTGCACTTGTTCAACAGCCTTTGTTTCCCATACATCGTTCTTTTTTGCTTTTACCATTATAGATTAAGTGATAAGGAGGACACAAACACTTCTATTTTATCCATGCTAATTTTGGTCTGTTTTGCATAACAATTTCGACTTCTTGCTGAAGCTGATGTGTTCCATGAGTAGTTATCATTGTTTCACCACTATCCAAGATGAGTCCCAGTAATTTGTTGCGTATTTTTATCTACATTTTTAGCATGTTTGGCTTATAAAGTGCTTATAAGCACATAAGTTTAGCCAATCATGCTCTGTCAAATCATTCGACAAATTTTAGAGCCTACTCAGACGGAATACCTTTTGACTTTCTATATAGTGCTTCTCTCTCCTTCCTGTGATCACATGAATTATTTCACTTGTCCCTCACCTAACCCATGCACCAAACTGCCTTCCGAAATAAAAAAAAAAAAAGGTTGAACCCCAACCGAAATAAAATGACAGGGGAAGGGGGATATAGAGAAAGTTGTATACTAAGGCCACATAACATCTAATATTAAATAATAGGATTTACGTTATTCAATATATTCTCATAACCCATAGAGTGAAGATGCTAAAAAGTAGACGTTGTACTGGTTTACGATAAATTGATAGAAGCATGACATAAGGAAAGTTTTTATAATAAGACAATATAATATTATAGTAGGCTTAGACAATTCATTTTATTCATCATAAAATGAAGATGCTAACAAGAAGACGTAGCAAAATTTTGTTATAACTTGATAGAAGCACGACTTGGGATATGTTTAGCGTAGACGTAAAGAGTGTTGTGTGATTTAAGGAAACAAGTTAGAAGAAAGAGTGATAGAAACTAGCATGGCCTATCGTCGTGTTATTGATCTAAATGCTTTGGATCTTCTAATAAATCTTTGAATAGAATGACAGAAATGGATTCATGGACCAACCTCGAAAGTTATTGAGAACATGACTCAGTATTTTTTTCTTTTTTCTTTTTTTTTTTTTGTGGGGGAAGAGAGAAGGGGGGATGTGTGGCTAATCTTAGTACCTGAAATTCAATATCTGAAAATTTACTCAAAGCGTATATTAGAACCCCCCCCCCCCCTCCCCGCCCACGTGTGGGATTATGGATGTTAACAGTTTGATTACTGATATATCAAGTTAATGGTTATTGTTTTGTGATTTATGATTTCTTGTTCGATTCCTTTTATTTTTATATTGCTTTGAATGGGGATTATACTGAGGAGTTCATTTCAGTTAAAGTTAGGTTTGCCATATGAACGATCATTTGTAGCAAGGATGTGTCATTTTCATAATATCTTGCTACATATACATTAAACTTTACACAATATGTTACATAATGTCATATGTTATTATATCATTTGTCTGTTTAAAACACAGTTTCATCCAATTCTTTCTATTCTCATCATTTTATGTAATTCGTTATGTATCATTTTTATGTACAAGTAGCATAATCTCGTGTTCATATAAGCAATATACTACTTTTATTAGCATGCGTGTTCTTGTGTTACCATGTAAACATGCAGTTCATTTAATCTACATTCCTTGTGTTACTTACGAAAAGTTAAACCTATTAGGTCTAGGCAATCAGAAAAGCTATTATTTTGAGTTTTTGTATAAAATTATAAATTACTGAAATTATAATATGATGTAAACAAAGGGAGGATAAATGAATAGTAGTTGTGAATCTTGGGAAATGTAGTTATTGTACAAAAGCTTGCTTAAAGGAATCCTTTAGTACTATTTTTTTATAATTTGGTAAATGTCATAAATTATAAATAAAAGAAAAGAAATGGAGATAATTAATAGACTTGTGCATAGGCTATTGAGAATTAAAGTTTTATATTTATAGATAAAAAATTGACAGTACGGGTACAATAATTATTGTCATGGAAGCTTGATCCAAAGATTGTCAAATAAGCTTTTTTCGAGCTCATTTTTGCGTTATCTTTTTTTACCAAACAACCAATCGTCCTATCCAAATGGTTATAATCCACAATCAATATATTCATTTAGGTTGCTTCTCAATCTCACTCACAAAGGACAAGATAACGGTGATGATTTACAAGCCACAAAGGCACAAGAAAAACAGTGGAAGGAACACAAGATGGAGGCCAAAACAAAATAGGTAGTCGGAATTCTTTCTCAATGGCAGTCAATTTTCACATGGAAGGCAACCATGTTTCTTGTTTTTTACACAAAATCGTACCCAAACAGCTAGGGTAGAAACACACACGTATATATAGGCTTTAAATGGACCAATAATAAGTTTAAATGGGTTAAAATTCAAAACTATCCAATAGGTAATATGTATGAGCCGGGTAGAGCCTTTGAACTTGGTTGTTTATAATTATTTCACTGTCGAGGCCTATGAAATATATTCCGACCTTCAACTTTATGGCCCTTAATTTGGGTATTAAAACTCGACAATTATAATAATTAGAATTGTATGAATACAATAATCATTGAATATTTAATTTATAACATTACAATACTGCTTTTGAATTGACGAATTACACATTACTTGGTTCATTAAGAACCTTGCTTGATAGAATCCATTGAGACAAAAAATATCAAAAGAACCAAAAAAGAGTGTTTTTTTTTTTTTTTTTTTTTTGAGTATTAAAACGAATGCTACTTTTGAGTATTAAAACGAATGCTACCTGAGTAAACCTTATCATGAAAATTTATAGGATAAAAGTTTCTTGAATGTAAACATTGACAATGCTTTTGCAAATAAGTCGATCACATTATCACTTGAGCGAATATTTTGAATATCAATGTTGCCAATTTTCTAAAGCTCATGCGTGCGTATCAAAGAAATTTAGAGAAATATTCTGTGTCCTCTGATATATGTTCTAAGTACTTATTATTATTCTTGTTACGTGTTTGCACACTTGGACAACCCACCGAGGTTCACAATCAACTCGTGCCGAACCACGTGGCACTTAATTCGAGATGGTTTGCATATGCCGAGGCCCCCAAATCTAGGTCCACAAACATCGAGGCCCATTTATCATTGCCTCATGAGGAGCTTCCGAAGCTCATATGCCGAGGCCCTTTGAGGGTGGACGAGGCCCTGTTTGCCGAAACTTTGTAGCCGAGGTGACAGTCTCCGAAGCACAAAGTAACATCTTCCATAGACACCTCCCCCAAGAGATCTTCTGCACAAAGATCTTTCTTGAATGATTGATAGGATGTTTGTCATGAGTGTAAATGTTAAGTCTTGTCACTAGTAGAGGCGACTCTGCCAATCAATAAATGTATAACAGGCTAAGTGCGGCTGATGCCTACAATTTGACATGTAACTCAATCGGATGAGGCCACGTGTACCCCGAACCAAAGGTCACGATCTAACTAGTGACACTATAAATACTCCCCCATGTACCCCATACAGAGGCTAATACAAGAATCAATACAAGAAATCATACTTTACAACACTCTCTCTTTCTGATTATCTTGCAACACAAACGAATTCATACATATTCAGATATACATTTCCAAACATCGATTGGTAATTATTGTACAATCAGTCTATGATCATCTCGCCGGATTCCAAACGTTCTCGTCCTGCGTCGTTGAGCTACTCCCACGTCCTTGATCTGTCAGTTTTAGACTGTCCACGTGTCTTTGCATATTGGACTTTCGCTTATGTGTGCGCGGGTGGGTCCGGTATTTGTTGGCAACATTTATTGGGGTCAACAGATTGGCGCCTTCTGTGGGAAACCATACCATAACCACGAACAACCTTGTGGTGAAAGCTTGTTAAAGAGGAATACTTGGGCATCCCCCTTGAAAAGGGATTTGTTCTTGAAAAAGAACAAGAGGAATCCCCACGACTTAGCAAAAATCTGAAGGGTAAGACACAAGGAAAATGAGCTCAAACGAAGATACACCCCCAGGAGGGTAAGAGAAAATGCTAATGTACCCCCTCAAGCAGCAGCCCCGGTAGCTCGGCATAGACCCTATCACAACCACCGAAGAGGTGGAATGCATGCGACGGCCCGGCTATCAAGAGAAATGGCCGCCATGGCAGCTAATATAAGGGACATTGCTAGCCAAAACATGGCTATGAGGGAACTTATGGCCCAAATGCAAGGCCAGAAAGGCTTCCTTATTCTTCCATACACCCCTCAAGGGCAATACCAGCAAGAGGATGAAGTTCAAAGTCATAGGGCCACCTCACCGAACTATAGCCGAGGTGTAAGCCCATCTGAAAGGGAAGTAGAAGTTGACGTTTCCTCCAACTATGCTTCTGGCTGACCCACCGAGGCCCCTTTTCACCATGATAACTTTCCACCTCCGTATGACCAAGAGCAAAGGCATAGGAGGTCAGACAGTGTATTTGGCAGAATTAGCCCCGCTGAACTGAGGCTCAGACAACAACAACATCACGAGCCTTGGACAAGGCCACCGCCTCTACCTCCAATGGCTCAACAGCCGGAGGAAAGGCATGAAAATGCCCCCCGTGTTGCTTCGCCTAGAAATAGGTACCAAAGGAGAAAAGAAGAGGCTAGGAACCATCCCGGAACCTCTCAACAACAACCAAGGTATGAGGCTGAAGAAAACGATTCAGATGAATAGCAGAGGTCCTGTGACTTGGACAATGATGATAAAAACTTGTCATTCTCAAGGGAACTAAGAAGCTCCCAAGTCCCGAACCACTTTGTTATGCCAAAGATTCCAAAGTATGACGGAAGAGGCGACCTACAGAAGCAGCTGAATGCTTACAAAACCCACATGAGCCTAAGGGGCGCCACTCCAGCTGTGAAATTCAGAGCTTTCCACTTAGTGAAGCAGCTAAAATTTGGTATAGTAGGTTACCACCTGGGAGCATAAGAAGTTGGCTCGAATTCAAGACGACCTTCCTGAAGAGGTTTTCTGTGAGCAAAGAGGGAGAGGCCCCCATCCAACATCTCTAAGACATGAGACAAGCACATGGGGAGTCCTTAAAGAGCTTCCTATCATGTTTCATCAATGAGATGACATATTGTGTGCAAGTCATCGACCGTGAGGCATTATCTGCATTGAGAGGAGGTCTGAACATGAACACCCTGTTCTGGAGGGACGTACAAAATCAAGACCCCACCACCTATGATGCCTTACTCGAGATAATGAGGCAGGAAATCATCAATAAAGAATTGATTGAGCATAGAAACAGGGTGAATGGAGGCCTCCCACCTCCTTAAAGGCAGCGTGCTAGAGGGCCGACCTCCCACTTGATGGACTACCAAATAAACCAAGCTGGTAACGAGAGTTCTGGGCAAGCACTGGCCACCACCACTTTTAGCGTCGTCCCTACATTGGCATATGAGGATATCAACCCAGTCATCGACACCCAGTAGATGGGAACTCCGCTAGGATCCCGTAGGGGTAGAGGCCGAGGCCGAGGTTCAGGACCTAGAAATAAGTCGAATAAAAAACTTGGATACTTTGTATACCACCGGTCCTATGGACACGACACGACAGATTGCCGAGACTACGCTCACCACTCCCGACAAGAACCCTCTAGGGACAGAAATGATTTACCCCAGGCGAACAGGCCCTCGCCAAGGTATGATAATCGACCTGGGCATAAAGAGGCCGCTCCACGTCAAAGGGATGTCTCTCCACAACGACGGGAGCGTGATGCAGAAAGGCCTAAGGAAGGACGCATACATCGAAAAAACTAACAAACTCAGGATGAGGCCCCTATCTACGAGATGGATACCATTTTTTGGAGGCCTTTATGTAGGCGGTGAAACGCGAAACGCCAAAAGGAATTATGCCCGTGAGGCCAAGCGCCCCCCACTTACCAGCTATATTGTGGGCCACAACTCCTAGAGAGATCAAGTTCCACCTATTGTCTTTACCCAGGAAGACACTGAAGGGGTTCACTACCCACACTGTGATGCACTTGTGGTAAGAGCAATTGTAGCCTGGAATGGGCTCAAATGAATGTTAGTTGACAATGGTAGTTCCGTCAACATTCTATTCGGATCCATCTTTGACAAGATGATACTGGACCATAAGTTAACATCCACCACCACTCCTTTGTACAGATTTACTGGAGATAGCATTACTCTGAGAGGAAAAATCACGCTCACGGTAGAGATGCGGGAGTCTCTCTAAACCATAATGAACTTCATGGAATTCCTTGTTGTCGATAATCGATCGGCCTACCACGGAGTATTGGGTAGGCTAGCCCTAAAAGAATTGGGAGCTGTCACCTCCATCCACCACCTATGCATGAAGTTCCCGACTGAAAATGGAGTGGCAATGGTGAGAGGCGACCAAAGAGGCTCAAGAGAATGTTATTTAAGCTCCATTAGAAAGGTAGAGCCTTGGGACGTCCACGTAATTATTGCTGATGTAGTCATGGGTGATTCCCCAGGTGATGCTCTCGCCGAACCGGAAGATGTCGAAATGATTGACACACCACCCAATCCGGAAGTAGTGGTCATCGATGAAATTGAACCCCGCACAATTGAACACGAACCTCAAGTATCCCCAGTTGAGGAACTTGAGAGCTTCTGGGTGGACCCCTGAAACCTATCCAAATTGTTAAAGGTGGGCAAGGGCTTGTCCAGCACTGTGAAAGAAAAATTCAAGGATTTCCTAAGTAGGAACCTCGATATCTTTGCTTGTAGGCATGAGGATATGGTATGCATAGACCCCAAGGTCAGTTGCCACCACCTGAAAATTGATCCTAAGTTTGCCCCGCATAGACAGAAAAGAAGAGCCCTCAATCCTGAGAGGTACGAGACCCTGACAGAAGAAGTTCAGAAGCTCGTCTAGAATGGCTTCATCAGGGAGGCCACCTATCCAAGGTCAGTCTCCAATCCAGTTTTAGTGAAGAAACACAACGGCAAGTGGAGCGTGTGCATCAATTTCACTAACCTCAACAGAGCTTGCCCGTAGGACAGCTTTCCACTTCCAAGGATCGACCAACTAGTAGACTCCACGGCTGGGCATGAGTTATTGAGCTTCATGGATGCATACTCCGACAATAATCAAATCCCCATGCACCCGGTCAATGAGGAACACACATCTTTCATCACAGACCGAGGCCTTTACTGCTACAAGATGATGCCCTTCGGGTTGAAAAAACGTCGGAGCAACATATCAAAGGCTCGTCAACAAAATGTTTGTGGACCTTATCGGCAAGATAATGGAGGTCTACGTAGATGACATGCTGGTAAAAGTTTGGAAGCTGGGGACCACATAACGCACCTCAACAGCACCTTCCAAATCTTGAAAAGATATAGAATGAGGCTCAACCCCCTTAAATGTGCCTTCGGAGTGGCCTCTGGTAAGTTATTAGGATACATGGTCAACTAACGTGGTATTGAAGCCAACCCCGAGAAGATTGAGGCCCTATGCAAGATGAGATCTTCCCAAAAGCTAAAGGAGGTGCAAAGTTTGACTGGACGAGTGTCCGCACTTAGCCACTTCATCTCCAAAGCTACGGATAAATGCCTCCCATTTTTCAAAGTGCTAAAAGTTGGGAAGAAATTCCAGTGGAATGAGGAATGTGAAGAGGCCTTCCAGGGCCTGAAAAGGCACCTAGGGTAGGCCCCCTCCTCTCCAAACCGAAGCCCGGTGAAATCCTACAGTTGTATCTCGCCGTCTCCAATGAGGCCATTAGTCCGGTTCTAATCCGGGAAGAGGGAACCACCCAACTCCCCATTTACTATACAAGTAAAGCACTCCTATCAATGGAAACCCGCTACCCCGATATGGAGAAGCTCACTTTGGCCTTGATCACGGCCTCCAAGAAGTTGAGACTCTACTTCCAAGCTCACACCATCCACGTGCTGACAAATTTTCTCCTAAGACATGTACTCCAAAAGCTGGATGCCTCAGGGAGATTATTGAAATGGGCGGTGGAGCTAAGTGAGTTTGACCTCGTGTTCAAGGCTAAGGCAGCCATTAAGGGCCAAGCCTTAGCTAACTTTGTGGCAAAATTCACCAACTTACCCGAGGTGGATAAAATCATGGAACAAGCCAAGCCCCCAACGTCGAACGTATTCGTTGATGGGTCGGCTGAGGACGTCGGCTCAAAAGCCGGAGTAGTCCTCATTAGCCCAGAAGGTCACAAGCTGAACTCGACGGTGAGGTTCGGGTACAAGGCCACCAACAATGTAGAAGAATACAAGACACTTCTCGCAGGCCTCAGGTTAGCTAAAGAAATGCAAGTAAAGAGGCAACTCATCAGTAGTGACTCCCAGCTGGTCGTTAGCTAGGTCAACGGTAACTTCTCAGCGAAGGACAAAACAATGGCCTCCTACTTGAAAATAGTGATGAACCTCATCTCATCTTTTGAAAAGTTTGAGTTGATCCCGATCCCCCGCATTGAAAATGCACATGTGGATGCACTCTCCAAACTTGCAAGTAGCAAGGGTTTCGAACTACTCACAGTAATCCCTATGGAGTACCTCCTCATGCCATCAATCGAGGCCCCCAATGTAATGTGGGTCACTGGGACTCCTACTTGGATGCAACCCATCATGGCATACCTCAAAGACCAGGTACTTCCCATTGACAAGCATGAGACCTACAAGCTAAGAGGACTCCTCTTCATTGATGATGTACTCTATAAGAGGAGCTTCTCCTCTCCACTCTTACGATACGTCCGAGGAGAAGAGGCTACATACATCTTAAGAGAAGTCCATGAGGGTGTGTGCGGCAACCACTTTGGAGGTCTATCTTTGACACAAAAGATATTGAGACATGGGTACTACTGGCCTACCTTGAAGAGGAATGCCCTTGAGTTTGTACGAAAATGTGACAAATGCCGGTGATTCTCTCCTATCCAAAGATAACCATCGCAAGATTTGACCGCGGTCTCCAGCCCTTGGCTTTTCTCGAAGTGGGGTGTGGACCTCATAGGTCTTCTACCAAAAGGTAGAGGAAGTCCGAGCTTCGCAATTGTGGCCATTGATTACTTCACAAAGTGGGTTGAAGCTGAACCCCTGACAAAAATTACAGAAGCCAACACTTCCAAGTTCTTGTGGAAGAATATCATATGCCGGTTCGGGTTCCCTACTCGATCGTCTCAGACAATGATAGACTGTTCGACAACAAGAAGGTCAGAAGCTTGTGTGAAGAACTTGGCATCAAGAAACACTTCTCCACACCTCACTACCCACAAGGAAATGGCCAAGTTGAGGCTGTGAACAAGACCATCAAACACATCCTGAAAAGGAAGCTTGATATGTCAAAAAGGGCATGGGTGGATGAGCTCCCACAGGTTCTTTGGGCAATCCGAACCACTGCAAGGACCCCAACAGGGGAAACACCTTTCCTCATGGCATATGGGATTGAGGCGATGAGCCCCATCGAAGTCAAACTTCCATCCCCACGACGTCTGCATTTCAGTGAGATAACAAATGACGAGCTTCGTAGGTGCGACCTCGACTTCATTGAAGAAAGGAGAGACGACGCCCAGCTGAAGCTCGTCATATATCAAAGAAAAATGATGAAGTACTTCAACTTAAAGGTGAAGAAGAGGTCATTTCGAATCAACGACTTGGTCCTTAAGAGAGTCTTCCTCTCCTCAAAGGAACCTGGCACCAATTCCTTGGGCCCGAACTGGGAAGGTCCATATAAAATCAGAGAGGAGATATGACCTAGGACCTACTGGATTGAAGACATGAACGGCAAGGCACAACCCCGTCCATGGAACATTGAGCACCTCCGAATCTATTATCAATGAATATACTACCTTGCTGGACAATCTCTCCCAGCTTATGTAACATTTCCATGATTTAATAAAATTGTCCATTATTGAATTCACATGTCACATTACGTCGCCACCTTGGAGGAGAGGTCAGCGTCCCATCTTTGGGCCACCTCGTCTGAACTCTGAGGTGCATGCACTTGCCTCCCTTTGGCGAGGTTGAACACCACTGGGAGAAGTCTTAGCATGGCTGAACAATCCACCATGTTGGGAAGCGTCATCACCTCGGAGGAGAGATCAGCGTCCTGTCTTTGGGCCACCTCGTCTAAACTCCGAGGCGCATGTACTTACCTCTCTTTGGCGAGGATGAACGCCACTAGGAGAAGCCTCAGCATAGCTGAACCATCCACCATGTTGGGAAGCGTCATCACCTCAGAGGAGAGGTTAGCGTCCCATCTTTGGGCCACCTCGTCTGAATTTCGAGGCATATGCACTTGCCTCCTTTGGTGAGGCTGAACGCCATTGTCAGGATCCATTCAGGTTACATTTATTAAGCTTAAGTACAAGTCATTTGCAGTCCAATATTGGTCATGGCTCATGAGGCTTTCGTACAATTTACTCGCTTAAGTGATTGGAGTTAGGATACCAAGTTAAAGTTGTTTAGTTCCTCAATCAACATTGAGTTCAATTGCTTGACGAGACTGATTTACTTAGGAGAAAAAAACATTGAACGAAAGAAGGTATTCCATTGATTTTCAATCAAAATTACAAAAGGGGGGCCTGAGGCCAGTACATCAGAAATAATTGAAAAGAAAATTATCCTAAGCCTATGATGATGAGGGAGGTGCCTTAACAGCCGGGGCCTCCTCAGCTTGAGTATCAGAACTTCCTTCTTCCGCCTCCGCTACTTCATCTTCAACTACTTCATCAGCTGGGGTTTGAGGCACTTCATCCATGAACTCTGACCTCAATTGTGACAAGTTTTGATTTGGATAAAGCTCATCAGCCCTCTCCATCATCTCAGCATAAGCATAATTTCTCCAGTAAGTACTGAAGCTCTTGTACTCCTCGATATTGTGGAAGTTGGCGATGTAGTCTTTCACCGCCTCTTCCCTCGCCTCCTGCGCCTCCTCTCTTACCTTAGTCACATAATCTAGCCCTCCAAGAACTTGTACGCATCTTGGGCCCCTGCCAGCTCCATGTTTGCCTTTTCCAAGGCTTTGACAATCACTTCTGGTGGTCATTGAAAACCTCTACTTTCTTGGTTAAGAAGGCCACCTCGCACTAGGACTCATATACCTCTTTCTTCAGTGCCTCAATTTAAGCCAATGCAGACTCTAGTTTGGCCGTATCTTCAAGTTTTTGAGCCCTCACTTCATCTTCCTCAGCTCTACCCCCCTTCCGCTCCTCTGCAAGAGAGGCCGTCTTCTTCTCCGAGGATAGGGTCCTCGTTTGAAAGTCAATGAGGGCCTCCCTGCACTCTAGTGCGAGGCCAAAGGTCTTCACACTTTGACTCACAAGGGCCCTCGTCAAGTCTGTAGCGTCACATGAGGAGGCGTGCAACTGCCACCGATCCGTCCAGAATTTGTAAAAGCTTTCTGTGGCACTTCGGATCTCAGGTGGCAGAGCCTCCACCAATGCTGGGGCCAAAACCTCCTCCCTTCTGGCAAGGAAGCTCGAAGACTTCCCCTGCACCCTAGTAGGTCTCTGCTTGGCGACCTCCTCCTCTGCTGCCTCCATTTTCCTCCTCGTAGCCTCCTCAGCCTCGGCTCGACGAACCATTTCAATCTTAACAGCTTTCGAGGCGACTGCAAGGAGCTTTGGCTGACTAGTTTCTTTGCCTTCATGGGACACAGAGGCCCCAAAATTTCCTGACAAGCTGGTGACATGCACCAGCCTCCTCTTCTTTGGCTCCTCGAGGACTTTCTCCTTCCCCAAGGTTCTTTTGCCTTCTCCGTCCTCTGAGGTGTCCCCTCTTCTGGAGCCCTCAAACTGTCATCTTTAGAGAGGCGCTTGACCCTACCCCAAACCTCATTTGCATCACTGGACCCCAGCTTCAGGGGCCTCACCTTCACAGTACATGTGGCCTTCAGTATAGAGGCTATATCAGGGGCTGGGTACTCCCTCCTCTTGAACTTGTCTGTAGAACATGTCAACGCATCAACACCAAAATGAAAAGTAAGAAATACACTAAGTATATGAGCTTCTTATCCTTGGAGGCCATCAGTTCGAAATCAAGGAAGTAGCGACTTCGATCGATGAGGTGGTCGAAGTGGCGAAGCTTGAAAGGCTTCTTGTAAATGTCCTCTATTACTTCGAACTCCTCCTTGCTCAACTCGAACCTCGTACTGCTATCTGCAAATGAAGCCTCAATAGTTAGAGAAGAACGAAATTTGAATACAGAATGCAAACCACTTAGGCTGGGAGACTCACGAGCTTTGTAGTACTGGGTCGGTACTGTGCAAGCCAGGCTGTGTCTCCCTCCACCGCCTGCCACCTGCCCCTCACCCAGAACAACGACTCCTTCCACCCCTTAATGGAAGAAGGCAGCCCTACCACAAATGGTGCATGAGCTCCCCAATGAGTTAAGTAATACCACCCCTTGACTCCTTACCTATTACCCTAAGCTGGAATAGGGTCACGAAGACATGGAGAGGCATGTCCTCCCCAAGTGAAACTTCCTTTCATAGGAAGTACGAGCCAACAAACTAGCTCCACCATTTGACAGAACCTGGGTCGGCGACAACATGAAGTTCCTCAGCACCGCCCTAAAGAAGGGATACTAAGGAAGACGCATACCTGCCTTAAATAGGTACTCGCTCACTGCCACGCACCCAGGCCTCGGATAGCAGGCCCACTCATGGGCCTCGGGTACTAACATCTCTACATAGTGAGGTACATAGTACCTCTCCCTAATCTCTCCCAACCTCTTCCATGTCATATTCGAAGGGACCCTAGACGCCCCCACTCCATACTGTAATCTACTGCCTCCTCGATCATAGCATATTGCTCAACCTCAGAGTTTCCCCTATAACTAGCCCCCTGACCGAATAACGCGACAGTGACCAATTCCCTACCCGAAGTCGACTCCATTTCAGAAAATGACTAAGAACACAATACAAGGGATTTTCTGTAAAAATACCTACGGGGTTACATGCCGATGAAATGTTACCGAAAAATCAGGGGACAAAGAGCTTTGACGCCGAAAAACTTTAGCTTTGAAAAAAAAATTGGATTGCAAAGGGTAGAAAATCCAAGACAATGGAGGTCTCTCGCCTTTTATAAAGGGCCAGGACGAACCCCAACCGTCTGATCAAAGCTCATCCAATCTGAACCCTTCATTCTTAATCAAATTCGAGGTGTAGAATTCAAACGATTTTTCAAACCTACGCCTCAGATTTAAGCGTGTCCCTCACGCACCTCCTCCAACGCGTCTGCTTCTAGAAGTTTTAGCTGTTCTCATGATTTCAGTTTTAATTCGACGGCAGCAGGCGCCTTGGAAGTTGTAATGGTTCAGCCACTTTTCCTTGAAAATATGCGCAAAATATCAAATCATTGGCACAGCTGCCGAAGAACAATTATTGTCAATGTGCCTCAGAATTTAGCTATCAAGCCTCGTAGGTTCGATTTCTCAACCACCTTGGCTTCTTCATCAGAATTCAGTCATCAAGCCTCTTAGGTTCGGTTTCTCAACCACCTCGTCTTCTTCATCATAATTCAGCCATCAAGTCTCGTCAGTTTGATTTCTCAACCACCTCGTCTTCTTCATCAGAATTCAGTAATCAAGTCTCGTAGGTCCGATTTTTTCAACCACCTCGGCTTCTTCATCAAAATTCAGTCATCAAGCTTCGTAGGTTTGATTTCTCAACCACTTCGACTTCTTAATCAGAATTTGGCCTTCAAGCCTCGCAGGTTCGATTTCCCCTACCACCTCGGCTTCATCATTCTCATCACTTCTCAGACAACAACAACAAGTCTCTGACTCCAACCATGATATAAATATCTATACTTGGACTTGGGGGACTATTATTTGGGGTACAATAATTTTAAAAATTTCTTTTAACTTAACTGGCTGGTTTTACTTCATCAAAGTCCTCGCATTACATAAATGACTATACTTGGACTTGGGGGACTATTGTTACGTGTTCGCATACTTGGGCAACCCACCGGGGCCCACAGCAAACTCGTGTCGAACCACGTGGCACTCAATCCGAGGTGATTTGCATATGTCGAGGCCCACAAATCGAGGTCTACAAACACCGAGGCCCATTTATCATTGCCTCATGAGGAGCTTCTGAAACCCATATGCCGAGGCCCTTTGAGAGTGGACAAGGCCCTGTTTGTCGAAGCTCTGTAGCCGAGGTGACAGTCTCCGAAGCACAAAGCAACATCTTCCATATCCACCTCCCCCAAGTGATCTTCTACACAAAAATCTTTCTTGAATGATTGATAGGACGTTTGTCATGAGTGTAAATGTTAAGTCTTGCCACTAGTAGAGGCGGCTCTGACAATCAATAAATGTATAACAGGCTAGGTGCAGCTGATGCCTACATTTGACATGGAACTCAACTGGATGAGACCACGTGTACCCTGAACCGAAGGTCACGATCTAACTAGTGACACTATAAATACTCCCCCATGTACCCCATACAGAGGCTAATGCAAGAATCAATACAAGAAATTATATTTTACAACACTCTCTCTTGCTGATTATCTTGCAACACAAACGAGTTCATACATATTCACATATACATTTCCAAACATCGATTGGTAATTATTGTACAATCGGTCTACGATCATCTCGCCGGATTCCAAACGTTCTCGTCCTGCACCGTTGAGCGACTCTCACGCCCTTGATCTGTCCATTTTAGATCGTCCACGTGTCTTTGCGTGTTGGACTTTTGCTTACGTATGCGCTGGTGGGTCCTGTATCTATTGGCAACATTTAT